TGGCCGCGTTCGGCGTGCTGCGCGAAGAAAAGAAGCTGCCGCGCGACCGCTGAACCGGTCCGGCTTTTTCGAGGAGAGGAACGATGTTGATGATCGCGCTGTTGCTGACCGTGCTGGTCGCGGTGCTGCACCTGTACTTCCTGGTGCTGGAGATGTTCCTGTGGACCCGCCCGCTGGGCCTGAAGACTTTCCGCAATACGCCGGAGAAGGCCGAGACCACGCGGGTACTGGCGGCCAACCAGGGCCTCTACAACGGCTTCCTGGCGGCGGGGATCGTGATGGGGCTGGTGATCGATCAGCCGGTGCTGGTGACGTTCTCGCTGGCCTGCGTGGTGGTGGCGGGGTGCTATGGCGCGTACAGCGTGAGCCGGCGCATTTTCATGATCCAGGCGGTGCCGGCGATTCTGGCGTTGGTTGTTCGCGCGGTGGTGTGAGTTTCCGGCCAACGGCGCAGCCCCTCGTGGGTGGGTCGCGTAGAGCTTGTTATGGGGTTGGTCGGGCGGGTGGACTGGGCAGGGGACGCCGTGAACCCGTCCCTGGGGGCTTGGCCGCCGCATCCATGCGGCGGACACCCCTGCCCAGCCCACCCGCCCGACCCCTGACAGTTTCCGTGCGCGGCCAGCCCACGGAGAAAAAAAGAAGATCAACAGCAACAGCAACAGCAATAGCAACAGCAATAGCAAAAAGCGGCCGGTGGGCCGCTTTTGCTTTTGCTCTTCTTTTTTCTCTTCCGTGGCTGGACGCCGCAGAGATCTGTCAGAGGCCGGAGGGGTGGGGCCGGGCGGGGTATCCGCGCCATGGATGGCGCGGCTAAGCCCCCAGGGATGGGTTCACGGCGTCCCCGCCCGGCTTCACCCCTCCGGCCCAACCGATAAACCGCTTTCAGCGTCCAACCACGAGGGGCTGCGCCGTTCGCGGGAACCCTATTTCGCCGGCGACATCCACATGTCGATCACCGCGCTGAACACCTCGATGCCCGCACGGTCGCGCACACTCACCGTCACCGGCAGTGCGTAGCCTTCAGCGGCCGCCACGATCGGCTGTGCCGGCAACGCCACCGCCTGCAGCGTGCCACGTGCCTTGGCCAGGTACTGCACCTGCATGCCCTTCGGAATCCAGCGCATGCCCTTCGGCAGCGAGGCATCCACCATCAGCCCGGCGGTCAGCTCGGCCAGGTTGCACATCGCGATCGCGTGCACCGTGCCGATGTGATTGCGCACGCTGCGGCGGTCGGCCAGCGTGCCTTCGCAACGGCCATGCTCCAGGCGGGTGATGCGCGGCGCGATGCTGGCGAAGTAGGGCGCCTTGAAGCACACCGCGCGCGAGAACAGCCAGCTGCCGGCGGGCCAGCGCTGCAGGCGGTGATAGAGCGAGAGCAGGGGCGTGGACATGGTGGGTATTCCGGTCGGCGGATAAAGCGACGGCGGGCCGAGGCCCGCCGTCGAAGGCAACGCGTGTCGCGGGCGGTCAGGCCGCCTGCGAATGCGGGTCCTTGTGCTGGCGGTCGTAGTAACTGGCCGCGCGCAGTTCGTGGGTGTCGAAGTCGTCCACGGTGATCGTGTCCAGGGTCAGCGTGCGCAGCTCTTCCAGCAGGCTGCGCTCGTCCTGGGTGATCACGCCTTCGGCCACGGCTTCGTCCAGCTGCGCCTTGAAGTCCAGCGCCTCGATGCCCTTGCTCTTCAGCGCCTTCAGGAACTTGCGCTCCACCGGCTCGGCCATGATCGCCTTGCTCAGGTAGCTGTTGATGCGGCCACCCGGGTTGTTCTCGCACGGGGTCAGGAACACGCCATTGGCCAGGCGGTCGCGGGCTTCGTTCGGCGCCATCAGCAGGGCGGCCACGCGACGGCTCAGGCGGTCGCCCGGGGCTTCAGCACGACGGCCCAGCGGGAAGATCAGCGCCCACATCAGCCAGCCGATCGGACGGATCGGGAAGTTGCGCAGGGCGGCCGACAGCGATTCCTCGATCTTGTGCACACTGTCATGGAAGGCCCAGGCCAGCAGCGGCTGGTCGGCCTGCGGTGCGCCTTCGTCGTGGTAGCGCTTGAGCATGGCGCTGGTCATGTAGACATGGCTCAGCACGTCGCCCAGGCGGCCGGACAGCGATTCCTTGAACTTCAGCTTGCCGCCGAGCGTCATCATCGAGATGTCGGCCATCAGCGCCAGGTTGGCCGAGTAACGGTCCAGCTTGCGGAAGTAGCGGCGCGTGTAGGCGTCGCCCGGGGCGGCACCGAAGCGCGCGCCGGTCAGGCCAAACCAGAACGAACGCACGGCATTGGAGATGCCGAAACGGATGTGGCCGAACAGGCTGCGGTCGAACTCCTGCAGGCCGGCACGGGTGTCCGGATCCTGCGCCGCCTTCATTTCCTTCAGCACCCACGGGTGGCAGAGGATCGCACCCTGGCCGAAGATCAGCAGGCTGCGGGTCATGATGTTGGCACCTTCCACGGTGATCGCGATCGGCGCGGCCTGCCAGCTGCGGCCGGCGAAGTTGCGCGGCCCCAGGATGATGCCCTTGCCGCCGATCACGTCCATCATGTCCGAGATCACTTCGCGGCTCATGGTGGTGCAGTGGTACTTGGCGATCGCCGACGGCACCGACGGCACGTCGCCACGATCAACCGCCGCAGCGGTAGCCTGCGACAGCGCGCTGATCTTGTACGCCTTGCCGCCGATGCGGGCCAGCGCCTCTTCAACGCCCTCGAAGCGGCCGACCGACAGGCCGAACTGCTTGCGGATGCGGGCATAGGCGCCGGTCACGGCGGCACCGGCCTTGGCGCCGCCGCTGGCGGTGGACGGCAGGGTGATCGAACGGCCCACGGCCAGGCACTCGTTGAGCATGTTCCAGCCCTTGCCGGCCATCGCGGCGCCACCGATCAGCTGGGTCAGCGGGATGAACACATCCTTGCCCTTGATCGGACCGTTCTGGAAGGTCGAGTTGAGCGGGAAGTGGCGACGGCCGATTTCCACGCCGGCGGTGTCGCGCGGCAGCAGGCCCAGGGTGATGCCGATGTCGCGGGTGTCGCCGATCAGGCCATCCGGGTCGTACATGCGGAAGGCCATGCCGATCAGGCTCGCGACCGGGGCCAGGGTGATGTATCGCTTGTCGAAGGTCAGGCGCACGCCGAGAACCTGCTCGCCGTTCCACTCGCCCTTGCAGACGATGCCGTAATCGGGAATCGAGGTGGCGTCGGAACCGGCGAACGGACCGGTCAGGCCGAAGCACGGAACCTCGCGGCCATCGGCCAGGCGCGGCAGGTACTGGTCCTTCTGTTCCTGGGTGCCGTAATGCACCAGCAGTTCACCCGGGCCCAGCGAATTCGGCACGCCAACGGTGGAGCTGACCACCGAGGACACCGAGGCCAGCTTCTGGATCACCTTGTGGTGGGCCAGCGCGGAGAAGCCCAGGCCGCCGTATTCCTTCGGAATGATCATGCCGAAGAACTTGTTCTTCTTGATGAAGGCCCACAGTTCCGGCGGCAGGTCGGCATGGACGTGGGTGATTTCCCAGTCGTTGACCATGGTGCACAGCTCTTCGACCGGGCCATCGAGGAAGGCCTGCTCTTCGGCGGTCAGCTGCGGCTTGGGGTAGTTCAGCAGGATGTTCCAGTCCGGATCACCGGTGAACAGCTCGCCTTCGAAACCGACCGAGCCGGTTTCCAGCGCGATGCGCTCGGTCTGCGACAGCGGCGGCAGCACCTTGCGGAACACCTTCATCATCGGGGCGGTCAGCAGCGGCTTGCGGATGAACGGCAGCAGCAGCGGCACGGCGATCACCGCCAGCACCGCGGCCGCGACGATCGTGGCGGTCTGGTTGACGTAGGGAATGAACCAGCAGGCGGCCAGCAGGGCCACGCTGATCAGCGTCCAGGTAACCAGCCGCATGCGGTGGTAGGCGACGAACGCGCCTGCCAGCAGCAGGGCGAGGAAGGGAAGAACGATGCTCATGAGCGTGCTCCGGTGACGTGCTCGTTTGTGGCGGACGAAGCTGCAGCATCCGCTGCGGGCAACACGTCCAGATAGTCCAACACAGTAGCGGTAAAGGCGTCGTTGTCATCGCCGGCGACCATATGCGTGGCCTGCGGCAGCTGTACATGGCGCGCGTGCGGCGCCAGCGCCAGGAATTCGGCCACGGTCTGCGGCGTGACCAGGTCACTGCGGCCGCCGCTGACCAGCAGCAGCGGGCATTTCACCTGGCGTGCGGCTTCGGCCAGCGCATCCTGATGCTGCTCGCTGTCGCGGGCCAGCTCGGCCACCAGGCGCGGATCCCAATGCCAGCGCCAGCGGCCGTGGCCGTCCTCGCGCAGCAGTGCACGCAGCGACTGCTCGGACTTGCGTGGCCGGTGCGGCATGTAGGCCGAGATCACGTCGGCGGCCTCGGTCAGCGACGCGAAGCCATCGGGATGGGCGGTCATGAACGCAAGGATGCGTTCGACACCAGCGGTGTCCCAGCGCGGGGTGATGTCGACCAGCACCATTGCCGAGAACAGGCCGGGCCAGCGCGATTCGGCCAGCAGCCCGAACAGGCCGCCCATCGACGCGGCAACCAGCACCGGCGGGCGCGGTTGCTCGCCGGCCAGGACGATCAGGTCATCGGCGAACTGTTCGCCGTGATACGGCAGGTCGGCGGCATTCCAGTCCGAATCGCCATGGCCGCGGGCATCGTAGGCCAGGGTCTGCAGGCCGGCCGCGTTCAGCGCGCGCGCAGTGGCATTCCAGGCGTGGCGGGTCTGGCCGAAGCCATGCGCGAACAGCACCCGGCCGCGACGGCCGTGGTCACTGGCGGTCGCTGCCAAACGCGCGCCATGGGCAGCGTCCAGGCGCAGGTCATGGAACGCAGCGGGAGTAGGGGACGTAACCATACCGGATAGTATGGATTGCTTGAGGGGGAAGTCAATACTGCATGGTATGGTGCACTGCGGCAGGGGGGCCGGCAGGGCCCGTAACGGTTTCCACCGCAACGGCGTACTGCAACGAACCCCGGCGTATGGTTAAATCAGCCCATGAATCAACCTGACGCTTCCGCCGGCGAACCGCGCGCCGGCCGCAACAGCCGCCTGAGTGCCGAAGACTGGGCCCAGGCGGCCCTCGACCTGATTGCTGAACAAGGGTGTAGGTGCCGTCGCGGTGGAACCGTTGGCACGGCGCCTGGGTGTGACCAAGGGCAGTTTCTACTGGCATTTCCCCTCGCGCGATGCCCTGCTGCAGGCGGCGCTGGAACGCTGGGAACTGTTCGAACAGGAACAGGTGTTCGGCAGCCTCGAGGATGTGCCCGATCCGCGCGTACGCCTGCGCCAGCTGTTCCAGATGGTCGCGCACGAAGTGCAGCCGCACATCATCTACAGCGAACTGCTGAAGGCGCTGGATCATCCGATGGTGCGCCCGGTGATCGACCGCGTGTCGCAGCGTCGCCTGGACTACCTGATTGCCTCGTTCCGCCAGGCCGGGCTCAGCTCCACCGATGCGCGGCATCGCGCGCGCCTGGCGTATGCCGCGTATGTCGGCTTCCTGCAGCTGTCGCTGCAGCTGCAGCAGCCCAAGCAGGCCCGCGAGGATTTCGAGGCCTATGTCGAGCACCTCATCGAGACGCTGATTCCGAACGGTTTGAAGATCGCCGTCCTGGTCACGAGAAAGCCGCGGCACCGCCGCGGCTTTTTTCTTGCGTGCCATCCACATATTGCCGGCGGCACAAAGAACAACGGCCCCTTGCGGGGCCGTTGCTGCATCAGCTGATCAGTGGATCGATCAGAACTTCTGCTTGTACTGCATGTACATGTAGCGGCCCGGCAGGTCGTACTGCGGGTCGAACATGTTGGCGCGGACCGACTAGGACACCGGCGGATCCTTGTCGAACGCGTTGTTCAGACCCAGCATGATGGTGCCCTTCCACGGGGTGTTGTAGCGAACCTGGATGTCGTGGTAGGTGGTCGACGCGATGTGGTTCTCGCCCTTCGCACCGTCGGAGCAGTACGGGAAGGTATCCGGGTCCTGGGTCGGGCTGAACGGGCATTCTTCGCGCATGCCGGACTTGTAGCGCAGGCCCCAGTTGACGCCGAAATCACCGTAGCTCCAATCCACATACAGGTTGGAGCGGATGCGCCAGTACGGATCCTGGTCGCGGTAACGGCCCTGACGGCCTTCAACCGGCGAATCCTGGGTCGACTTGGTATCCCACTTGGACAGATAGGTGCTGTCCCAGCTGATGGTGAACTGGCCGAACGAGGTCTCCGGCAGGCGGTAGGCCAGGCCCAGATCCCAACCTTCCACCTTGTACGATGCCAGGTTCTGCAGCGGCATGTTGACGTTGGTGATGGTGTAGCGCTGGTTGACGGTGCCGTAGTTCGGATCACGCGTGATCAGGCCGCAGTAGGCTGCCTGCTGCTGCGGGGTGCCGCCGTAGCAGTAGCTCATGATGTCCTGGATCGCCGGGCGGGTGATCGCGTCTTCAACCTTGATCTGCCACCAGTCCAGGGTAACGTTCAGGCCGGTGACGAAGCTCGGGCTCCACACCAGGCCCAGCGTCTTGCTGGTCGAGGTTTCCGGCTTCAGTTCGGATTGGCCTGCCAGGTGAACGGCACAACCGTCTGCTTGCGGCCCGCACCGGCGCCCGGCTGAATGAAGTTGGCCGGGACGCCCTGTGCGGCACACTGTGCGGCAACCGCACCGGTACGCAGGCCGGCGTTGGACGAGCAGGGATCGATGTAGGTCTCGAAGGAGTCCGTGTCGCCGCGATACAGGTTGTTGATGCTCGGCGCGCGGAAGCCCTCGGAGTAGTTACCGCGGATCATCAGGTCGTCGATCGGCTTCCAGCGGAAGCCGAACTTGTTGTTGGTGGTGTTGCCGAAGTTGCTGTAGTCGGAGTAGCGCGATGCCACGCTGAAGTCCAGCAGCTTGGCGCCCGGCAGGTCCGCCAGCACCGGAATCGACAGTTCCACGAAGAACTCGTTCAGATCGTAGCCGCCCTTGGTCGGCGCCGCACCGTTGCCGGTGCTCAGGCCCGAAGCAATGAAGGCGTCCGGATCGAACTGACCGGTTTCCTTGCGGTACTCGTAACCGGCAGCGAAGCCCAGCGCACCGGCCGGCAGCTGCACGATCTCACCGGAGATGTTGGCGTAGTAGCCCTTCGACACCAGGCTCGCCGAGTCGTGTGCGGTGAACGAGGTGTAGTCCAGAGCTTCCTGCGAGATCGAACCCAGGCCGCCCAGCGGATTGATCGGCACGCAGCCGGCAATGACGGCACCCGCCGAATTCAAGCAGACCGGCTTGCCATCGCGCAGAGCCGACGGGCCATAGGCCTCGGCCAGACGCTGCCTGTTGAACAGGCCGTAGGTCAGGTCGTTCTGGTCGGTCTTGTCGTAGCGGTAGCCGACGTCCCAGTCGAAGTTGCGATCGGCGAACTCGAAGAAGCCTTCGAAGCCACCGTAGAAGTGCCAGTTCTTGACGTTCTGGTTGAACGAACGACCGCCGGATTCATTGAAGCGACGATTGACGCCGGTCAGTTCGACACCATACGGGTTGTACATGCTAGCCGCGCTCAGGCGCTGGCCGGTCACCGGCATGGAGGCCAGCAGCTGCTCGGACTTGCGCTCGTTGTACATCGCCTCGGTACGGAAGGTGATGTTGTCGGTCACGTTGTACGAACCCAGCACGAACAGCGAAGTGCGCTCGTTCGGGGTCAGCAGGTAGTTGTCCGGCGCGGTGTTGTAACCGTGGACGTTCGCATCGAACGGGGTTTCAACGCCATTGATGATGATGTACTGGTTGCCGTTGCGAACATAGCTGCCCGGGATGCCGGTTGCGCTCTGGCCACTGAAGAACGGCGGGCCACCGGCGGAGATCTTGCGATCGCCGGCCATCACGGACTTTTCGTTGACGTAGGACGCGCCGACGGTGATCGAGGCGCGGTCGGTCACGGTGCCCAGGGTGAAGTCATACGCTTCACGCTCGCCGTCGCCATCGCTGTACTGGCCCTTGTAGGCGTTGACTTCAGCACCATCGAAGTTCTGCTTGGTGATGATGTTCACCACGCCGGCGATGGCGTCCGAACCGTAGATGGTCGAGGCGCCGTCCTTCAGGATGTCGATGCGCTCGATCATCGCGGTCGGGATGGTGTTCAGGTCGACGCTGCCGTCCAGGCCGGTGGTCCAGCGGCGGCCGTTGACCAGCACCAGGGTGCGCTCGGAACCGAGGTTGCGCAGGCTGACGCCGGCCGAGCCGTCACCGCCGTTGTTGAACGTACGGTTCAGGGCGGCACCGTTGGCGGCGACGCGCTGCAGGATGTCGGCGACCGAGGTCACGCCCTGCTTTTCGATGTCGGCGCGGGTCAGGCTGAGCACCGGCTGCGAGGTTTCGATGTCGGTGCTCTTGATGCGCGAACCGGTGACCGAGATGCGGTCCAGGTTGGTCGCTTCCTGAGCCTGGGCGGTGGCAGTGGACGCCACACCGGCAACGAGCGCGACCAGGACGGCGTCGCGCAGCTTGTTGGACTTGAAGTTCATTGGCTCTCTCTCTCCAAGAAATCTTGGCTGGGTGATTGCCTGCGTACGGAGCGAAAAGGCGCTCCAGTACTCTGCGTTGATACCACTGCTTT